TAAACTATGCTCATTTTGTCAGGCTTTTAGGAATATTATTATTGGTTGAGAAAGTGAGTATGTTAAAAAGATTAAAAACTACATGGGTGTTATTTCTTCTGTCTTTTCTTTCTTTCTGTTGGACTGTAAATGCTGAGATATAGAGAAATTAATATCTTCGAGTATATTTTTTTTCTATTCTTTTAATCAAGGTTCTTTTTTTCTATTGTGAAACTTTGGATTCTCCATTGGTAGTAAAGTTCAAAAGAGTACTAGTTTAATGTAAAATGATCGAGTTTTTCAAAATTGATTTACGAAATGTGATTAAACAAAAAGAATTTTTTAATTTTTTAACATATTTTTCTCGTAATATTTCTTCAAGTGTTTAAGTTTCTATTTATATTTTGAACAAAAGAGATTATTCCTATAAACAAATAAATTATTTATTTCAGAAGAAGTTACAAAAATCAACATATTTCCGTAAAACAATTGTAATACTTGGTTAAAAATTATAGGAGATGTAAGTTATAAGTACGGAACCAATATTCCATGTGTGCAGAGTTGCCTGCAATTTGTAACTGACATCCATATGTATTTATGGCACGGCTTAGCTCGACTTAACGGCACCTGGAAAGAAATGTTATTTAAGAGAATTATTATTTTAAAAAGCTAATCTTAGTAGTACAATTGATATAAGATTAGAAATTACATTTGAGAAAGAGTCTTTCATCTAACTGTTCGCTGATCGAGTTTAGCACTTGATAATAATGGGAAGTTTTTATTAAATTGATTAAAGATGAGACAAAGAAAAAAAACTAGAGGCTGCAGTCGACACTGAAGGTACAGCAGTCGGTAGTGATGGTACAAAGCAGCTAACGTTGGTGCCAAAAAGATATATATTCTATCAATGATGTATACCGATATGCTCAAAATTACAACTGATTGAAAAAAAAAATTTTCGTGTAACTCGAAGCACTCTTAAAAAAGCAATTCAATTTGATCATTATTTATGAAATATTGAGAAATATAAATAATATTGATTAGAAAGTTTATTTCCAATTGAGCTTGCTAAACTTCAATGTTTTTCAAAAAATGAAATATATAATTTAATTTAAGTTTTTCTTTCCAATCAAAAGTCTATGTCCATCTCAGAACAACCTATCTAGTTGAAAACTTCAGGACATGTGAGCTCGGATCTAAAAAGCTTACAATGAAAATTTCAGCGCAAAATATTGAGTCATTCAAGAGTTATCCTTATATTAAGGGTCAAAAAGTAGACCTTTGTGTGTTCTAGATTTCTCACCCAAATTTAATGATACATAACTCAGATTAGTGTCAGAATGTAGCTAACATTTGCCGCTACAACTAAGCCAAGTTCGACTTTTGGCACCAATTTTTGTAGAAAAGCTCGGAAAAATAGAGCTCCTTTCGTGGAACAAGATATATTTGTCCCAAAAACTAAGTCAAAAATAAGAAACCCAGCTCTAAAGAGTTGTGGAGCGTCATTTCCTCTTGATAATCCTTGTCTACTATATGTTATCAATTTTAATCGATCAAATGAAGACATACACATACTTGTATAGCGTCTAAAAATTTGAATATAGAATAGAAAAACATACGACGTCTAAGTGTGGCTGTTCATATCACCCATCTGCAACCAGCTCTATCCATTCACATCCACTTCAACAATACCAGCTGCTCGTATAGACACAAAATCAGAAGAAGGGAAGAAGAACGGATACTCGTGTAAGATGGTGCCTTTTTCACATAAGCACTATCAAATAACTCTATAATTAATATAAACACTAGTAGAGAAGCAGTGCAAGAGATGAATCCAATTGTTCGGAAGTTTGAAGCGCTTCCTAATTATTTCACACATTTTTACTAGATCCTTCACTATGAGAAACCTTAGGAAGAGTTCAAAAAGCAACCATAAAAAACATTTTGCTCTATTTCAGCATCATCAGTAACTTCTGTGTGAAATTGTCAAAAAGCATCAGAATTCCGATAAATTTTAGTGATCTCAAAAGCAGACAACGAAAACTAGCTAACCATATAAAAGTCTCAAAATCTTTTTTTTTGACGAAAATCACAACTTTTGACAGGATGCTTTTACAAGATTAGAAGAAACTATTGATCCGGTATTATTGAATCAAAAGAACAAAATATTGTGGAAAAAATTATTGATGAATAAGCTGTTAATCAAAAACACTTGAAATGAGATATAAAACGTATATTTGACTAATCAGCAACATCATCATTGAATATGAGTAGTCGATGGTGATAAAGACCTTGACATAGTGAATGTAATGCAATTAAAATTAATTTTTATTTTGTAATTTACTTCTTCGGCGTTCTTCTAGGGTATTTTATAAATTCTGAATCTCGATGAAAATTAATTATTTACACAGACAGAATGAACTTTACCTGGATACAGGCATATGAGATTTGAGTATTCGTGTTACCATTTCTAAAGGCATCATATCGAATGAAATTTCTTTTGTAAAAATAGTGATACAAACTTTATTGCAACCGACCAACGGGATTTTTTTTGTAGGAAACTGAGCCTAACGAAATACAAAATACAGTATAGAACAAAAATTTTTCATTTTCCAATGCTCATATGTTTTCTTCATTTTAAAGTGCTTCTTTTTATATATAGTTCACCTCATAATTCAAGATATGGTGGATGAATGTTTATCTATCGAAACTACATATTTATGGAAAACATCGAAGGAAAAAAATTTGGCAAAGACAATTTTCAAGGTTTGTATAAGTCCAAGGTAGGTTGAATACAGAATAAAGAAAAGTCACCTAACGATGATTGTGAGAAAATGATTAGTAAAATTTCTTAAACAGTTAAGGAAAAATCAATAATTCTTATAGAACAAATACATGATAGATAATTGATATTTTTTATGGCAACAACTTATTATTAGAATCAGTCAAATATACCGCTTGTCTTTTTCTTCATACAAAAAATTTACGAAGATTTTATTCAACAGTACGTTATTTAGAATGTCAACATAGATATTCAGATCTCTTATAGATGCATACAGTTAGTGATCATTATCTACTTGCATATAAATTGATTTATATCGAAGTTCAGATATTATTAAAACATTCAATCTTCTGTAAATGTATTCGATTAGGATCTTACTTATTCATCAGTTAATTTAAATGTAGTATTTATTTTTCTGAAACTCGAACCAATTAATATGCAATCGAATAGCTATGATGAGAATACCTCCCATCATTTCAGTTGATTACATCCAGTCGATACAGATTCGAAACGCAACAGAAAGCAAGTTTCCTCGTTTAGAACTAAGTTCAGTGCAGAGAAGTTTCTTTGTACTAATACTTATTGCGCATCTCCCTCACACTCCGTTAATTGATAATAAAAAGCGAGCAACGTATTTATTTTTCAAATAATATCAAAAGAAAACAACAAACTAACAAATAACAAAAAATATAGTTTATGATGTAAAATGGTTCATTTATGGATACTTTAAAGATTGATTTGAATAGCCGTGATGTATGGTAAACAAATTATATACTGAATGTTCATGCTAATGCTAAAACATCGAGTGTACTTCTGCGTTTGATTAAATACTGTAACTACAGACACCACTTACAACTATCAAGTTGACGTGTTTTCATGTTTACTGACTGAAAACGAATTGTAAATGTTATCTTTTCTGAATGATCTGAACATGACTAAAAATTCAGAATAGCAAAGTTTCAAAGAATGTGCCTGTGCATGCTGGTATTGATGAAGATGTAAGCAACGACCTCAGTATATGTGCAATGTGGTGCTTGTCTTCACTATGCAAATAATCACACTCATACTCATACAGTCACAACCACACCTTAATCCATCCACTATCATATTCTATGCTATCCACTCCATGAAAATAAATAGCTTCTTTTTTGGAATTTTAATAAGAATCGATAGAAAATACTTTCGACTATTTACTGGTGAAAAGTCTTTTTTCTCTCATATAAAATGGTTGAAAAATGGCTGAAATATACTAATTCTTTTTGAAAGTTGATCTGAATTACAGCAATTGACTATATTACTTAATGCACAATGGTTTTATTAATTTCGAATTTATTCATGATGACATTTATCATAGATGAAAGAAAGTTTGTTGTTGGCGTTGTTTTACTTTTAGTTTGCAACATTCCTGTTGTGAGTGAGAAAAAAATGATCTTGTCTGATATCGTTGTCTTCAACATAAAGTGTGTGAAAAAAGGAAAGACACTACATAGAACGTCATGCTTCGACATGACAAGAAGGAGATAAGAAATTATAGTAATACACTATTAAAATTTTAATAGTTTGCAATTGTTTACAAAGAAAAACAATGAAGCTATCCTATTAATGATATTCTAATACGATCAATTAAGTCATTTATAGCTGTTTACACTTAAATTGTATGTATACAAAATCATATCTAACATATAAATACAATTAACACGTTTTGTGATTGACCAAAGAACACACTTTTCGCGTGTGTCTGAAAAAAAGCTGTGTTAAAAATATTAGTTTAGTATAAAAGTGTGTTCTCTCTTCATTGTATGAGAGTTACTATATTTATTGTATCAACCATGAAATATTTCTATCGAAAAATAAGAGTTGAATATATAAAGTAGATTTTGTTTGGTTATTTAAAATTATAAAATTCTGTGGTGAAGAATCATTTATAACATGTTGAGATAGCAAATAACCCGAGTGTTTATAAATAGATAAGATTTTTCTCTGTTGCTGACATATACTTTGTTTGACTTTATCACAATTGATAAAAAGATATTTGTCTAACAATACTGCTATCATATCTATTGAACTTAAAAGAAACACAACATTTTAATGATGGACATGTTTCGATTAGTATCGTTGTTTTTCTTAAGTTTTGCTTCATGCAGTAAGTATTCAAAAAATATATATTTTAATATATAAGAAATATCATAAAATAATAGATAATGGACTTCCTCGCTTTGCCAATTATATTCAAGATCATATGGTATTACAAAGAGCTCCACAAAGAGCTGTTATTTGGGGTTTTGGAGAATCAAGCAAATTAACTACACTTCGAATTCATAATAAAATCTATGCAACTATAAGTCGAGCAGAATCAGCAAATGATTTAGGTGAAAGTATTTGGTCTATTATACTTGATCCAGTTTCTGATGAAGGACCATATGATATTCAAGTTACACAATCATTAGCTAATGGTACACTTTATACTATTACAATTCATGATGTTTTATTTGGTGATGTATGGATATGTTCTGGACAATCAAATATGCAAATGGCAGTTGTAGATATTTTTAATGCAACAGAAGAAATAAATAATGCTGGCAACTATCCTAAAATTCGAGTATTTACTGCTGCACTAAAACCATCTGATACACCTATAGAAGAATTACTTGGTATTGTTGAAAATTGGTCTGTTGCATCACCACAAAGTATTGGTGGACCATCATTTACTTATATGTCAGCTGTATGTTGGCTTTATGGTCGTATGATTCATGAAGCATTAGATGGTCGACCTATTGGACTTATAGCTACGAGTTGGGGTGGTACAGCTATTGAATTATGGATGCCACCAGAAGCTTTACATGATTGTGGAATTTCATCGTAAATTTTGAATAAAAAAAAGATATTTTTATTCATGTCATGATTTTACATTTACAAAACAGAAATGAAAAAATAAAATTACAACCCTACGGTCAATTTTCTGAAATGGCATCACTTAATAACTCTAATCTATTCAATGCCATGATTTATCCATTTACACGTATGGTTGTTTATGGTGCTATTTGGTATCAAGGTAATAGAAAATCAAATAATATATTTCTTATTCACTTGTATAGTAAATTTAGGCGAATCTAATGCTGGTTATCATACAGATAAATATGCTTGTACATTTTCAAAAATGATTCAATATTGGAGACAAACATGGAGTCAACGTACAAATTATTTAACAGATATTCACTTTCCGTTTGGTTTTGTTCAAGTTTGTTTTTGCTAAAGGGGAAAAATAAGTATTTCATACACAAATATATATTATCTATTTAGTTATCCACATCGACAAATAAAAGTACAATAGTTGGTGGTTTTCCAGTTATTCGATGGCATCAAACATTTGATGTTGGTTATGTACCAAATAATGTTGTTCCTAAAGTATTTATGGCTGTTGCTTTAGATTTACGTGATGATCCTAATAAGTAACCATAACTAAAGAATAAAAAAGGATTTGAGGTGAATATATCTATGTATATACTTTTAGTATTCATCCTCGAACTAAACATGATGTTGGCTATCGATTATCACGTTCTGGTTTAGCTGTAGCTTATAATCAGCAAGTTGAATATCAAGGTCCTATTGTATCAAGTGTAAGTTATTCAAGTGGTAGTAAAACTGTTAATATCACTTATACTGCTGTTCAAAATATTGATTTACGAAATCCAAATGGATTTGAAGTTTGCTGTAAAGGTTCTAGATGTAAAGATGATAGTTTATGGGTACCAGCAGCTGTATCTAGTAAATATGCTTTGACTATTACATTAACAATATCAAGTTCATGTGTTGGAAAACATCTATATGGTCTTCGTTATTTATGGCGTGAAACACCATGTCTATTTAAAGAAGCAGCTCTTTATAGTTATACAGATCGTAATTTACCATCACCACCCTATCTAAAACTATTCTAATAACTATGAATAATTTTTTCTTACTACAAAAGGAAAATTATGTTTCATTTTATTGTCTATTTTGCATTATAAAATTAGTATTCTTGAATAAATTTGTATTAGCAACTTTCAAAAATAAAGAAAAAGAAAGCATCTTCTCAAAGATAATAATACTATTTAGCAAAATAAAATCGTTGGTTAATTACTCTTCTATTGTCGACTGTTTTTAAACATTTGTAGATGTTATAAAATATATGGTAACAAAAGACAAATACTTAATTGATTGACATCGATATATATATATATACGACTTTTGCAACTAGAAAAAATCGAGTTTACTTGCGAATCCGATATCTCGACAAAAGAGAAGTCTTCTCGGTTGAAACTTTGAGAATATTCTAAGGATCATTAGCATTCACTAAAACTGTAATAACTCGATTCCAAATGACTATGAGCACGAATCGTTATTAAGATTTTTCAATTCTGACCAAGTTCTCCTTGTAGACTTGATATGAACTCAAACGATGAGTTATAGTTCGAGTAGGTCCCTCATCAATACATTTCAAGAAAAAAAACAGTCTTTCCTTTGAATTTTTTGTCATAAAGCATTACTTTCATCGTTTTCACTATAGAATAATCATTGAAGGAATGAATGAATTTGTTTAGGTTTTCTTATCAGATTAATTGAAACTGCATTGTTATTTGAACTAAAATCGATGACACTTTTCATAACACTATTAAACACAAATAATCTAATAGAATAGTTTTGAATTGAGTGTGAGTGTTTTTATAAAACGACCTACATGCACAGCCACATCACTACAGTCATTATCACATCATTAACTACAGAAAAAAAAGCAATCAGACACATCACAGCATACAGTAATCGACAAGAGTACCGCTACAGGATGAAACCTATTTATATCTTAATAATTTTGGTTCATATTCTTAGCACATACAGAACTAACGTCAGTAAAAGTTGATCTCGATTGGTTGACATATACTAGGATTATTAGCTCAACAGTATCATCACCTTTTGAAGGCTATATCTCAATTATTTTTTGATGTTCACTTTCAATTGATCGCTCATTTGAAAACCCGAAGTCAAAGCAATCTGCAACAAGAGTTTGGTAAAAAAAATAGTCTGAATTAATAGAGATATGATTTTCGTAATGAAAATGTCTGCCAAGTAGTTAGTCTTAGTCTCCAGTCTGCTAGTTATGCCTAAGATTAACCTTAGTCGATTCACTTGAATATTTCCGTCATAACTTCTCATTGGTCTAGCAGAGCGTGATGAAATTTTCAGAGCCATAAGCAGGAGTGTCGGCTTAGTATTAGTGTTAAAAAAATAATTTAATACTTTGATATTATTGTTAAATTAGTATTAGGATAATGCTAATGCCTATAGTGATTATGCCTTTTTTAAATAAACCAATTCAGTTTTAGTTAGGAATAGTACCAATAACTTTTGGCGGACTATCTGAGAGTAGCATCTCTGACTATTTTAGGACTAATACAAGTAATATCTGCATCTTTCTGAGGACTACACGAGAGTGGTATCCATAACTGTTTTAAGGCTACTTGGGAATTGTACCGGTAACCAATGATTACCGGGTGTGATATCTAGGAATGGTCAGTTACGGATATCAGAGACTTATGTTTCTAATTAACAGGAAATGGATTAGTTATGAGACTAATTTTTCGGTCAAGAAAAGTCTATTTTGCGAAAATAACGTTTGTTTATGGAACTTGACTAAGGGTTTATGAGGTAGAAAAAATTCGAATCTATAGATGCTTTCTCAAAATTTTCAATTAAGGTTTTTGATCATGGAAGTCTAAAATAAATCATTCTCTTTTCGAGATAAGCCTTTTATGATTGGAAAAACAGATTCGAACATTTCTAAAAGCCCATGGTCAATGTGGATTTCTCTATTCCAAAAACCTCTGATTATGTTGTATAAAAAAGCCACTATTTTACCAATAGAAGTCGTCCCTATTTGGAATAATTAAATTCAAAGTTTCAACAAGCCATTGATCAACTCAAATTTCTCAGCGTTAAAAATCTTTATCAAGATCTATACGAAACTGTTAATATCCTAAACCAGATCTTCTTGGACCAAAAAATCAATCTCATAACTTATCCATTTTCTGTTAGATGGAAACAATCTCTAGTAACCGAAACTGACCATTCCTCGAAAGCACACCCGGTAATCATTGATCACCGGCACTATTTCCAAATAGCTCTAGAACAGGTACGGATACCGCTCTCACGTAGCCCTTGGAAAGAAACAGATATCACTCGTATTGGCTCTAAAAAAGTTAGAGATGCTACTCCCAAGTAGCCCTCAAACAGTTAGAGACATTGTCTCCAGATAGTCCTCAAAAATTTACAGGCATCATCCCTAACTAGAACTGAATTGATATATCTAAAAAAAGACTTACATAATCATCATAGGTATTAGCATCATCTTAATGCTAATTTAGCACTAATACCAAAGTATTAAATTATTGTTTTAACTCTAATACGAAAGTATTAAAAATAGCATTAATTAATCCAATGCTAATTTTAAGCCGACATCCCTAGGTGTGAGCGTAGATCTTCTTTTGTGCA